TTTATTTTTTCAATTTCGTTATGAATTCGTTATTCGTTATGAATAATTTTAAAGCTGATACTTTGTTTATTAAAAAGTAACAAAGCACAAAGCTTATTGCGATTACTGGACAGCAAGTGCGCTTCAAATAATATGAAGTTCACGCATTAACAGAACACAGCAGACTAAGATCTTAATAACAAGAAGCCATATTAGTAATGATTATAAACGAGAATTGTTAACGATATTGCCAATATCCACACAGCTGACAGCTTTACCTGTTGTAGTTTGTTCAGGTTGTGCACGAAATAGACGCTGCTTTTCTGTGGGGTGTGCGTCAATGCTGCTGTGCTGCAGAGACGAGGACTGTTTGAAACTCTTTTTTTCCACTAAAACTTTGATGCGCATGGACAGCAAGTGCGCTTCAAATAATATGAAGTTCACGCATTAACAGAACACAGCAGACTAAGATCTTAATAACAAGAAGCCATATTAGTAATGATTATAAACGAGAATTGTTAACGATATTGCCAATATCCACACAGCTGACAGCTTTACCTGTTGTAGTTTGTTCAGGTTGTGCACGAAATAGACGCTGCTTTTCTGTGGGGTGTGCGTCAACGCTGCTGTGCTGCAGAGACGAGGACTGTTTGAAACTCTTTTTTTCCACTAAAACTTTAATGCGCATCGTCTCAGATTAATACGTGAACATAAAAGATGTGATCGCAAAGCAATCAGGAAAAAAGGCATTACATGCACATTTTTAAGTCATAACATGTAAATATATATATAGTCGCCAGTGGCGACCTCAGCAAAAACTTAACTCACAAAATTAATATTTTTGGTCGCAAATGCGACCGTTTTAGTCGCAGTCTGGAGCCCTGCAAGCAGAAGTCATCACCCTACAGCTATTAAAAAAGCACTTAGATCCAGATAAGGGAAATGAGCTCTTAGGAGGCAAACAGAAGCTGTGTTGAGTGGACAGCATGTTCAGGGAGCGGCACGGCTCCTCATTATCATTGTCATCAGTGTCAAACTTTTTAATGACAAGAACCCCTAAACATGACGATTGCCTTCCTAAAATATGAAAGGAAGTAATAGTAAATAGTAATTTCATGCATACAGGTCCATTTATACTATATGTGAAAAACAGAAAAGATAGCATAAAGTTTCGATAAAATATATTAAAGTATCCAGATAGAAATTTGTTTTCCATTCTCAATGGGAAAGTGCCTAAGCAACATTTCTTTAAAAAGTTGCTTGGCAAAATTGCTCAAACAGTTGTCCTGTGTATCATCCGCCTAACTTTTTTCAAAAATATACATACTGTAAACAAATAGACAACCGTTTGGATTTGCATACGGATTTGTCAGCTTTTGGTTACCAGACCTGATCACTAAACATTACCCAAGAAACAAAGCACAGTCCTGTGCACTCTTCTGTCCTTTACAGCCTGCATCCCAGCTCTTATTAGCAGGTATTAGGTCACAAATTGCAACCTCCAGGCTGATTAGTGTAATTGTGTTTAAAGCTCAAGCTCAATTCCTTCCCAGATTTCTCTATCCTCTGCTTTCTAATCCTGTAAACTCCCCAGCGAAAATTGACGTGTCAACATGAATGTGAAGAGCATTTCGATGTAACCTGGAGGCGAATCATATGGTGTACAAATGAGAAGAGCAACGGCAATGCTTTGTGCGACGTCTCAAACTCATTTTCTGTAAAAGTGTCCTATTTCTGATCAAATGAGAGCAACTTGTGTTTCAAGTGAGGCATAACAGACAGTCATTTACTCACTGCCCCAAGGCTGTCAACAGCAAGTAATTGTTTGCGATGAATTTTGAGTCAGATTTTCTAAGAAAAAACACTTTCTGCATGACATGTGAAAGAATGAGTCACCGAAAAACAGTCACGATTGCTGCAATACTGCTCTGCGCAAAATGTCAGCTCTGTGACCTTCCCGCCTGCTCGAACACGGTCAGAAGAGCACAGCCTCGCAGCACTGCAGGAGAAACGCATGAAAGAAACAAAAGAGCTCTCGCTGAGCCACATACTTACACCATACATTCACACTTAGCGTAGAAAGGAAAGCGTCAACACCACTGCTGGAGGATGTTACTTGTAAAAGTAGCATGCTAAAATACTGCATTACTTATTACATAACATAAACATAAACATACAGAACATATACAAAACATACAGTAACTGATACTAAATTAGATATTTGATTGAAAAAAAAATATACGAGTATGTAATATGCAGTGCTTATTTGATCAAAATAACTACACAAGTCAAACGTCACTTTACTCGTTGAGAACAGCAATTCGATAACGCAACTTGTAACATATAACAGCCCAAAACACTGCTCACCACTATCAGAAAACCATGACATAAATCCAGAAGAGCAACCGTCTGTGCAGCATTCATGGCACTGGACATCTAGCAGACTTCACTGTCCTAAAACAACATAACACTTCCTGCAGCTGCCAAAAGCCAAGGTTCCAGATGTCCGAAGGTTAGGTGAGACGTGTGAAAACAGACTCGGGCCTGTCCTGAGAGGGAAAGCGAGAGTCAAACAGTTCTGGTTAAGGCCTGGGCCACCCTCCTTCTCCATAACTCTGCTGCAGGAAT